CTCTTGCAAATATGTCCATATGTTATATGTTGGTTCATTTGGTGTGCTAGGAATGACATTAAGTATTTGGAGAAACATATTAACGGTAAAACTATATATGAAAAATTACTAGATTACATTAATAGACAATTCATATTGGGAAATCATAAATATGCATTCTTATCTGGCCTAAACTATTTTAATGGGAATGATAATCACTTAGTCCAGCGTGGGAGTAGGAATCAATAACCCATCAATCTAGTGAGATGGTTGTCTCCACCTCTTGACTGGATTAAGATCAATACATATAGAAGTTGAATTAATAGAGTTGTTAGAATAGGTGGTATTTTTAGAAATTGTAGGGGTCATTACATATCCTTTTTCCTTCTCCTTGTTTTGCTGATAACTCTCTTGCGGCTAAAAGTATGGCAGTTTGTATGGCATTAAAATTAGCAACTTCCCTTAATTGGAGTAATTTAGTTGTGAAGGTGGATTCAGCTTCCTTGGTGGATATAATGGAAGGAAAAAGGGCAAATCCTTAGGATATTATGCATCACATAAGGAAAATTAAGGCCCTTAAATTGCAGCTTAACATTGTATGGAAGTTCATCTTCAGGGAAGGAAATAAATCAGCTCATTTTCTAGCAAAAAATGGTGCACTTAATGATGAAATCCTGGTGAAAAAAACTCCCAAGGGGCATTTGTTGAAATTATTAACAGGGGACTTATTACCTATCCCATATGTGAGAGGCAATAGGCCTTATATTTTTTTCTAGTTCTTTTGGGAGGGGTTTCTGTCCTTTTGGGGGCTACTCAGCTGAGAGTATGAGCACTTATATTTGGTCTTTGCTTATCCTTTGCTCTCCAACTTGATTATATGTTACATTACTTGAGAAGCTATGCACTTCCTCTGAACCTTTCTTATTTAGATCTGAGGAGGCATGACATTGTGTACATTTCAAGCAGTCAGAAGCCTTTCCACATTTGCAAGCTGAGAGCGAATCCACACATTCATATGCTTCAGAATAAAGGGATTATTTTCACTTGCTTTATCCTTCTCTGCATAATTTTTTTCCAAACATGAGCAGGCAATTTAGAACTTTTGGAGGTATAATCTTAGAGGTTGTTAGCTTACAACTGAATGTCTTCCTTCCGGTTCCATTCCCAAAATACTTCGCTGGTTTTTTGACTTATGTGTATGTCCATATGCTAATGCAATAAAAACTCAAGATTGAATAATTAAATTTTGAAGAAGAATTTGATATGATAGTATAAAAAATAAGAGAGACATCTAAAATGATTCAAGGGTCATTGATGTTCTTTATTTTGGGCACTCTCTTTCCTGATTTTTCCTTGAAGAGGAAGATTGGTATTTTGTAGTCATAGTTATTGTGGGCTAGCTTTACTTCAGAGTCGACCACCTGGCTCTATAATTGTCTTTGTGCTTTCAAGAAGGTCTTTGATAGCTGTGATTGTTATTCGAGCAACAGTTAGAGAAGTATGGCTTTCTTTTACCCTGTGTGTGACAAGATCTGTGGGACCACATGATATCTATAGCTTATTTTTTATATATTAATCTGCTACTGAAAGTATTTTGTTTTGCTTCAATGCATAGTCCTTTATGTTGTGAAGTTGTTTACAGTGAGAAAGATTTTCGATCACCTCTTTGTTTTTTGGGAGGTGATCAATTGAATAAATACCTCACACTATTAAATGGTTATTGTTTAGACATATCACCATTTATGCAGTGCCTTCAATTGCCTCTGGTGCAGGGGTTGTCTTTTTTTGCTTATTGTCTCTATTTTTACAGAATCAGGGAGGGAATCTACTTTATAAACCAACACCTATTTTATTTTCTGTTGTGGGGGATAATCTCAATTGGTTTAATCTGAATATTATCTCTAATGTATTAATTTGTTGCTGCTGCTCTTCGTTTCGACTTTTAGTTCATTTGGTTTTTAGAATAGGCTACATAATCTATTTTTTTTAACAAAATGAATATGAGCATGTTTATTTGGCTACCTCTTATGGGGTGTTCACAAACCTTTTATGGAAATTCCTTTATTTTTTTTGCTGATTTATTATTTGTTTGCCTTTGTGTCCACAAAATCAAATGCTTTGCTAGTGCATCAGAAATTAGAGGATTAATGGAATTGGACTCATGGAATCTTTTTTATTTTTTGCATCTTCGCTTTTAACTGTTGTTGGTTTTCTTGAAGATCCTTTTTTTGTTTCAGTGTCTGCGGGGATGGATTTAACTAGTTGTCTTGTTGGTTTGGTACACCTGCATGTTATTTACTGAACAGACCAGATACTAGTTTTAGTGCCTGCTTCTTGGAGATAAAGTCCACCACAAATAATCAAAACCTTACTTTTATAGGTACGTCATTGCTTATGTTGCTATTTTGTTTATTTGTTTCTTCTGTCACTTGAAGCGAACACGCAAACATTTTATGGGGGTTCTTCTAGAGAGATATAAGAAATAGAGTATATTTTTTGAAGATTTTATTTTGGGTATACTTGTAATTGCTTTTAGAGATCCTTTTTGAGCGGAGTTGTGGGGGTTCTTCTAGAGAGATATAAGAAATAAAGTATACTTTTTGAAGATTTTATTTTGGGTATACTGTAATTGCTTTTAGAGATCCTTTTTGAGCGGAGTTGTAATTGTGGTTGGGAACTCCTATGAGTGTGTATTGTATTTTCTTGGAGTTTTTGTAGTGGGATCCACCAACCACACAATCTTGTAGTTTTTGCTTTGATGAAATAAAATTACCTCCGGGTTTTATATATATATATATATTTATATGTATAATGCAAAAATATTTAGTTATCATGACAAAATATTTTAATTATTTAAATATTATTCCTGTAAATGATTTGAATAATAAATACACAAGTATTCATTAGGATTTCTATGTTATGCATACAACTTGGAAACTTCTTAATAAAAATTTGTTAACCTTTATGTGAACATGTAATTTTTTGTGTGGATTTTATACTTACCAACTCATATTTATTATTATGAAAATTTTGACTTTTTTGATATAAAGATCCAAAATTTACTTGAAAATTTGTTTTAAGGCTTAAGGAAACATTTTGAAAAAGTAAGCTCAAAATGGTGAAATTTGTCATGAGAATAAATTTGATTTTTGAAATCTCTTAGAAGGTTTTAAGAAATTGGTTTGAAAAACTAAATCATTTTGAACTCTTTTGGTTGTCCTTTTAAAAGTAAATAGGTTTAGCATTAGCTAACTTTAACATCTGGAGTTTTAAGAAACATAAATTAAACATTGAAGTACTTAAATTTAAGTTGATTTAAAAGGGAGCTTTCTTTTTTTAGCATAACACTTTTGATTTTTTTGAAAAAAAGTTTTGTAATTTAGAGCTTATTTAATTAAGCTATGTTAAAGGGAGTTAGGTTGATTTATTTAACATAATACATTTAATTTTACAAAGAACAAGCTTATTAATTAAAACACAATTAAGTAAATTTATTTATTTTAGAAGATGGGTTGGTAATTAAAACATAATACTTTTATTTTATAAAAAAAAGAAATTTATTAATTAGAGCACTTTAAATTTAAATTATTTATTCTAATTTATAAAGAAAAATAAAGTATTAATTATATCATTTTTAGTTTAAGCTGTTTAAACTAAAGTGAGTGAGATTGTTTTTAATTTTTTCAAATAATTTTATTTATATAATATTAAAAATATATGAATTATTATGACCAAAGATATGAGTATTGTAAGTGGTCTTATCTTGGACCAACAAATTTGCAAACCCTATTGTAATTACTCAAAAATCACATTTTCTTATGCATCATCCACACAACAAGCATTGCTTTTTTCATAAAACAGCACAAACATCACAACTTACATGACTTTTAGCAAGGCACATTAAAATAAAATTTGCATTATTTTTTGTTAAGCATATTAATCCACAGCTTGTATGATTTTTAGATAAGCACATCAAACCACAACTTAATCTTTTGACAAGCACATTGAACCACATCTTGCATGGTTTTTAGAGAAGCAATATAGATACACAACTTGCATATTTTTTGACTAAGCACATAGCTTACAATGAAATGTTTGATAAGCAACATAAGCACTCATTTCTTCATAATAAGCTAAAGATACCTCTGGAACATTTTCAGGCTTTTTATTAAACTTTACATGATCCTGCCATATCACATGGACAATCTTTTAGTACTATGTTAGGATCATAAGATAATAATTTTGGAATTAAGTAGTTTTGGTTTAATATCACCCTGTGGGCATGCCAACTCTATAGAATATATTCGACATTACAGTGTAGGATATGTAAATACCTATAAATTGGGCGGCATGTATGTAAATTAGTTCCCCATCGTATAAAACCAAGACTATTTCAGTGAAGTTGTTTGAATATCAAAAGGAGGAATAAAAGTTCAAGGCTTTCCGTGTGTGCAGCCAAGGATTTATGATATATGCAAATTTTTAAGATAAAAAAATAATTTTTAAAACTTAATATTATTATTTTGATTTATTAAATTTAAATCAATTATGAGTTGAATCAAACACGAGCTAGTTCGAACAAATAAATTAGGAATCAACTCAAATGAGTATTATTTAAGAGTAATTTCGAAAGGCCGAACACAAACAAAAAAGAAAAAAAAGATAAGAAAAAAATAACGAGCTAAACATGAACAAGCCATGGGCTTGCTAAAGCTTAGCTCGTTTACTCCCCTAACATCAGACCACATTATATCTCCTTCATAGTTGCTTAATAATCATACATTATGCAATCATAAATCATGGCCATACAAACCACTTTGGACATATTATGCAAATTGTAAACTATAAATAATAAAAAAAATAAATAAAAGATAAATAATCCAAGTCCCACATACCCAAGCACATCAACAAATCAATACAATAATTGTACATCAAGATGAGAAAAGAAACATAACCATTACTGGATTTGTTAATTACATTTAAAAAAAGTAACCCACAACTTAACTTTACGCGGAAAATAAATGTTTTATATCATACATAAATCGCATGAAACTATATAATATGTCACAACATTACAAACATAAAAATAATAATAATAATAAGAGGTGGTTTCTTACCAGAAGGGAGATTAATTAATCAGGACCATGTAGAACAGCCTCTTATAGCAAACTTGCTTCCACCCTCCAAACTTTTTCTATAAACCAGCGTCCATTTTTCGAAGCTGCAATTAGTGAAATCATAATAGCCGCCATGAAGAGAAAGCGCTCCTTTAGTCACTCTTTCATCAATCCACGGGTATGTCAATAGGTTCAGGAGAGAGCCGTTAATTGATTCCTAAAATGGGAGAAGAAGCTTTATGGTATTAGAAGGAGATGCTGAGATATGTAAAGTACAGTATATTGACAGATAATAATTTTCTTATACATAGATCCAAATGAATCCCACAAGCGTGATGGGATTAGCGAGCTATGTGTCTAAGCTTTTGTTGAATGAAGATCAGCGGTGAAATCATCAAGCGATAGTGAGATTAGTTAGAACTCTCAAGTACATGGGATCGAAGTAAAAGATGGTAAATCCATCAAGGGAAAAAATTCGGTTGCCGGTTCCTGTCAAAGGTAAAAACGGAATAATAGCATCTGTTGATTTATATCCATCACCCAATTACCAATCTTAAAAAGCACATGGGACAACATATGTTCTCCCTTTCATATTTTACAGTGGAAGCAGCTTTCAATAGGCATGGAGGACACCCCTTATTTTTTCTAAGTCTTCTGTTTTTATTTGTTGATTATATAGAGGTATTCGAGTTCTCCCTTCTGTATTTATTATATCATAGGATGTTCACCTTGTCGAATACTATAATATATAATTCTCTTCCATAGGAAAATTGGTGTTTCAAAGAAGTCTTTTGTTTTTAAGGATAATTTTCTTTTTCGTATTTTATTGTAAGCTTCTTCAGATAATGTAATATATCTTTCATATTCGATAGAATTATCATTAATTATATCTGAGTCAAGGTTATCTTCCATTAGTTAGAGTATAAATATTCATCTCTCATTATCTGAGTAACTTATATTTATTAAATTATCTTCTGTGTCTGATAATTGGTATATTTATTCTTCACTACTATATCGGAAAAATTAAAAATAGGCTCTAAGTTATTTTCTTCTATAAAAGCTATGGATTTCATATGACTTACCTTATTTCTTTGGGGACATTTGTTCGCATAGTGTCCTTGTTTACAAATCCAAAATTTATTTTTCTTAATATTCGTATTATTACTATTATATTTTTTTTCTAAAAGCTCTCTTATTAAGATTAAATTGTTTTTTTTTCTATATTTTCTTAAAGAATTTTTTCTTTTTATGTTTAGCAGAGCAACTACAATTATTATGGGAAGAAGAGCAGCCCCATTGCAGAGCTACTAAGTATGTTTTTTCACAACATAGTGATTGTTTATATTATTTATTTTGTTTATGTAAATCTATATGCTGACATGCTTCAACTAATTTTTCTAAAGCATATTGTATTCGACTTATTAAAGTTATATCATTTTGACATATTTTTATAAATTCTTGACTCCATATAATATTATATGGTTCAGGTAATTTGCAAAATTACATATCTAAATATAGCAATCTGTCATCAACTGAAATGTCATAAAAATATTTTTGATAATCACAGTTATATTCGTTTTAATAACATAAATTGCAGATGCTTATTGTTGTTATATTTTATTTTGCTAAATCAGATTGATGTTTTCAATTTCTGCTTCGGAGCTATATCTAATTTTATATCCTAAAAATTCACTTTTTATATAATCTCCATAAAAAATTAGTCATTTGTCAGGTGTACCCATAATTTTCTCTCCTAAACGAGTTTCTCTCGTATTTTGTTTTTGATCGTCTTTTAGTCTAATGAACCATTTTTTTACGAATAATTTTTTGACGATTCCAGTAAGTGTATTTTCTAAGAATCCAAAAACATCTTCTTTTAGATTATAATTATATATGGCTAGATTATTTTCTATTACACTTTTTTCAACTATTTCATTAATATTTTTACTACAATCAATGTTTAAATAAATATCATGTCCGCTTATAGGTTCAGGTACATTGTCTTGATTTTTAGTTTTTGCTTTATTAGATTTAAACATAGAAATACGTTTAATGCTAAGAGGTAAGTAATGTAGATAAGAGCTTGTATTTTGACTTGTACTAGCCTCATTTGTATTTGCTATAGAACGTAATCCTATAGGACGATTATTGGATTAGGAAGGAGCATCAACTGATGGGTAATTAACGGGAGTAGCCATGAATTTATGTTCAGTTTAAATATTAATTAAATATTTTATCTTATTCTCAGAAGGAGATAGTTCATCTATTGAAATAATTTCATTAATATGTATGGCTCCTTGTATATTTTCTAAAGAGATATATTTATTTTTCCATACTAGAATTTCTGAGTTGGCTATGAATTCTTTTAAATTACAACATTCAATAAGAATAGCAGCAGTAGCTATATTACTATTTAATACTTGCTGGTTTTGAATAATTCTTATCCCTAGTTCATGTTGTGTGTGTAGATATATATCTGTGTGTGTGTGTGTGTGTGTGTGTGTATGTGTGTAAATATATATCTGTCTGTGTGTGTGTGTGTGTGTGTGTGTGTGTGTGTAGATATACATATATAATCGCTTGACTCAGCCGATCGACTCTCCCAGGTATGGATCAGTACGGTCCAGGCGTCTGGGACACAAAAGAGGGTTCCCGTGCAAGTTACGGAACACGTTAGTCTCCCCACGTTGAGAAAGCATTGACCTCATTGGTCAAAACTCAAGTCTCCTCATAATATGGATAAAGATCAGGCACATTGAAGGTAGCGGAGCTGCCATAACTCAAAAAACATGGGTTGGAGGGCCTTCAACTGCAGGGATATAAGCATCTGAGTCCCATAGTCGTTTGCGCTGTCCCCCAAAGCCCCTGTGAAGGTTTCTTCACTTCCAAGTAACCATCCATATCGATCTAACCATCTGGAGGTATACTACTAAACTGAACTACGACCATGTGCCAAGTGTACTCTGTAGAGTCTTCCAAAGATAGACCAAAATTGGCTCATCACAATCTAATGTAGGACAAATTGAACTCCCCCTAACAGTGGCGTCTCTAGCGACAAGCTATCAATCAAGATATCCTGAAATGTTCTCTGTAGCGGATGAATGTGTCTAAAATCGACTCTTCTGTCTCGCTGTCATTTATAATCATCAAAACCGATCTCACTGGTGCTTCTACGATGGCAAGAGAACTGTAACCTAGGACTCTGCAAAAGGTACGAGAACTGTGTTTTCCATCCTTAGTGAATGAGTAGTTCTTGAATCTGCCACGCTGAGTCAAGCGATTAAATAGTCACGATCTCCCCAACAAATTGTCACAATCATCCATTAGTACCACGTCACACCACATCTAATCCTACAACTAGTTCACAATAGAACTGCATGAGACATCTCCTGTCATTACAGACCAGATTCTCCTTCTTCAACCCCATCAGAGAATACAGATGGAAATGCCTTTGAATCGTGAGACTTAACAAATCCATCATTTATGTAGACTTCACATTCTTACTGCTACCTCTATCGTTGACGAGATTGCATATCTTTCCCTTCAGATGCAATGGATGTGGAATATGTTGTGATGAAGCCACTGGTGCTCTCTAGTGGCCTCAGTCTAAAGGGCCCATCAAACCACAAATCCTTCGCCCTCATCTGCTGAAAGTTGGTAAACCTCACCAAGCTCTTCAACTATCCCCTCTTTGCTCGCCTCTTCCACTATGCCCCGCTCGATGAATGAGACAATTCCGCTTGTGAGACAACTAGAAGCGATGTGTCCATATCCATGGCAGCAGAAGCATTTCCCGGAGGGCACGGTGCTTGATGTTCTACTCTTCTCAGACTTCTTCTCACTCTGATCAACTCTGTCACCTTCCTCACCCATCTTCTAAACTCCCTTAAGTGTGCTCCTACTGATGTCTTTAACTGTGGGTGGTTGTCTGAATAGAGTTGTCTGCTCTGCTTTATGTCTCTCCACCTTCAGTGCCAAAGTGTGAACACTGCATAATGACCAGCAAGACTATAGCTAAACCATGTTGTCGATGGAGGGCTTTAGGACTCCTAAATACCAAGTTATCATGTGCTCGTTTGGCTATCAGCTCACATTGCAGCTTATGCTGCATAAATTCCCTCGTGAACTCCTCCATTGATAATTCTCAAAGTTGTAGGTGGTGGAGCTTCAATAACATGTACTGGCAGTAGTGGGTGGTAGGTACTATCGTTGCATCTTTTTCATCTTCTTATGGATAGTGATCTTGTTGTGTGCTTCTCTCTCTTCCTCTTTAGTTCTCCCACCACAACGATGCACTCTTATTCAGTTTGATGGTAACAAGCTTTACTTTCATATCAACTGACATACCCTTGTATTAGAAAATCATATCGACCATCTGCACCCACTCAATGAAGTCATCCAGATTCATTCTTCCATACAATTTCGATGTCTACCTTCACTCCAGATTTCTGTATCCTCCAATGGGCACATCTCTCGGCCTCCTCTGATATTGAATCCCAAAGTGATGTGGCGTGCCTTCCTATTCAATAGAATCATCCATATGGAAGGGATTCATGTATTCCCCCCTCCAAATCAAGATCAACAGTGACCTATCCCTGAGTCATCTCCTCAATTTCAACAAATTGTTGTTGAAGGCAATGGATTTCCCGGTGTATCCTAGAATCTTGCTATCAAGATCAACAGTGACCTATCCCTGAGTCGTCTCCTCAATTTCAGCAAATTGTTGTTGAAGGCAATGGATTTCCCGGTGTACCTCTTCCATTGTAAGCTCTTGATCGGCTTTCGACACTTGTCTCCTCGGTGGCATGGTTTGGATTTTGGTTTGTGGGGCGAAGGGGGTGTATGTAGGGCTGTCAAAAAAGCTCGTTGTTCGCAAGCAGTTTGTATTCGGTTCGTCAATGAGTTCGTGTTCGATTCGTTCGATAAGTAAACGAGACAAACGCGAACAAATTTTTTTCGTTCGGTTAGTTAAACGAACCAAACACGAACAGTGATGCGTTCGTTCGTGTTCGAATCGTTATTGTTTGAAATATAAAATAATAT